CGTTTTTGAAGAAGTACGGACCAATGATTCCACCAGCCCATAAAGCGCACAAAAACAGTCAGTGTTTCTGGATGTAACGGTGTTTCGACATACACTTGTGGATTAACTTCACTACAAATGCGGCAGTTTTGTTTGCTGACGTAGCCATTCTACCAGAAGTGCGCTTCATCGCTAAACAAAATTAGCTTATGAAAATCGTCCATTATTTTCGAAATAAAATTGCACAATTTGAAAATGTTGTTCAGGCGTGAGTCTATTCATGATGAATTGCCAAACCAAACTGAGAATAATTCACTTGACAGCTGTTAAATCGTTCGCCATCTTGGAAAGTAATGCCAACTTAAACTTCTATACCTGGAAAAAAACACTCTGTATATTGTAACTTGGATCGGTGTTCGTGGATCTTATGCTATCAGTTTCAAAGAGCAGAACATTTCCTTAATAGGGATGAAAATTAGCTGTAGAGAAACAATCTTTACAAATACAAGATACAGCCATAAAATTCGCTTTATAAATTCCAGAAGGTTTCCGCTCTTTTTATAGCGCTCAGACACAACTATTAAGTTTTTAAAATTACAAATACGTAACGATAAAGATTATTCACAAGCGATCGCTCCATCGTGTCCACTGAAGTCTTCAACAGCTCAAGTAATACTCGCAATTTTAGCGAACGACTTTTATTTGTAGTCTGGACGGCTGTCTTCTACCTCTTTCCCGAAAGATCATGATGTAAATTAGTTTCTCCAGTAATTTACAGAAGTATCCGTATGACATCCAAGTTGTCAAAAAGATCTCCAAAAATGATGTTAACTTGGCTGTATCACTAATATTTTACCAAGGTTATATTAAAAACACCATTAAAATGTAAGGGACAGCGTTGCTTGCAAATATTGCAATATTTATCATAAAATAAATAGAACTGTAAACTTAAATTTCTCACTAAGCTTTAAAATTTCGAAAGTAATTTTAATAAATTTCATATAGGAACGTACAACAAAAAATTTGATTCTTGGAATTTAAAACGGTATTATTTACTGCGAAAAAGTTTCTATTTTGCAATACATTTTTTTTTTCTTTTACAAAACATTTAGAATATTTTTATTCACTTTCTTTTATTTTCGAATAGTAAATTACTGAAATTAATTATCACAATGATCAAAATTACACAGGGATCTTTTTTACTATTATAAATTTACTATACAAAGAAAGTATATATTTTTATATAAGAAATTAGGATTTTCTAATAAAATGTAAATCCCCAAAACTTAGTTTTGCCTATTAAAAGGCATTTTGATTAAAAAAATGATGGTATTCATATCATTTTGAAAAAAAAATATATACTAATTAAATATTTTTGATAAAAATAATAATAATGATTCAAAATGGTAATTATGAAATATTTTGAAAGAAAATAAAAATACTCATTGAAAATAATAATCGTAGTCTGTCAAAAAAAGATCTTAATACAAATTTTGATAGGAAGAAGTTCTACAATACAAAAATAATTATAGATGATTGTTAAATAGTTTGTTTGAATACTTTCTTTGTATAGTATTTTTTTATTAATTATATATTTACATATACACACAATACATTCGTAAACTTGATTTTGTTTGCGCTCGGGACATTGTTCGCGAAAACACATTTCAGCGTTTTAAGCTTTTCATAAATCATACATTTGATCCCAATTACTAACTTGTATCCATTCAGAATAGTTTTATAAAGCATTACAATCAAATTTCAGTAGGTTTTAATTGTTTTCAAAAAGAAATATAATGATTGATTTTCATTTTATATTTTACAGAAAAGTAAAGACGAAAATTTCTGAAAGAGAAATTTCTTCATATTAAGGTATCCAACTATTTTCGGAACCATGATTTTAAAAAAAGCGCATAAATGGATAATGTTCATGATATTTAGTCTCTCTTAGATTAAAATACATATCTAAAATTGTTTTAAGGACATTTTGACAAAAAATATTTAAATATAATATTTTGGCAAAAAACTAAATTAGAATAATTTTTTCCCAGTCATCTCCTTTTGTGAAAAATGGTTCTATTATAATAATCATTTGTCTGTATAAAGCTCAGACCTCTCTACAGAGGCTCAACTATAATTTTTGAAAAATTCACATTATTTTCAGAGTTACCACCAATTGAAATAATTCTTCGCGTTCTTTTCTTAAAATAGCTCCCCTCTGTTGTCGTAAAATATGAATAAACCCACTTCTAAGTTATATATTTCATAAATTCTAGTTAAGCCTCTGAATAGAGATCTGAGCTATATACAGGCAAAATACTATTCTAATCGAAGCATTTTTCATAAAAAGAGAACATTTGGAAAAAAGATTATTCTAAGTTAATTTTTTGCCAAAATATTGTATTTAATTAAATATTTCTGTCAAAATGTCCTTAAAACAATTTCATGCATATATTCTAATCTAAGTGATACTAAATATCGGGGAAATTATCCATTTAGGCGCTTTTGAAAATCACGGTTCCGAACGTAGTCGGATACCTTAAAGAGAAACTTTTCTTATAACTATAAATCCGAAGAAAATTGTTATTGTGTACATAAAACTGGTTCAAGTATAAATAAATCAAGTTCTATTCCCTCCTTCAAAAATAAATATATTCCATGCAATAATATATTTATTATAAATATACATCACATCCCTGCAAAAATTATTCTCAAAAGAATGTAAACTAATAAATAACTTGCAGGCGCAATAGATATCCCAAAAAGTACATATTTGATACGCTTTCTTTAATATCAATATTTTTAGTAAAACACCCCGATAAATCAAATTTCCTTCAATTTGATGATATTTTTTCGAATTTTGTAATGAATTTTTAAAATAGTGTAAATAATATATATCTGGATGTGCAATACATTTATATTACTCTATGTTGTATTTATTTTATGTGAAAACTGTAATATTCCTAAGCAACGCCACTCCTTACACTATAATGACGTTTCAAAGATCCAAAATCTTGTTGACAGAGCCAAGTTGGCAACATTTTTGACGAATTCGCGACAACAAGGAAAAAGGAAAATAAATTATTGCTATACGCATTGATTTTATTTGATTTAGTAATACTACGTTTAAAAAATGAAAGAAATTAAATTCTTTTTTCCCCAATTAAAATGGTCCACTAGAATAAAGCACCGTTTAAGTAGTACCGATATTTACATAAATAAGAAATACCTATTATTTGTTTCAAGCAAGAAGAAAATTCTTAGTGTAAAATTTACTGTAACATTCATCACAATTCTAGAAAATTGTAACTAATAATTAAATACTCAAGTTCAAAACTCAATTCATTTCATTAATAATAGATAGATGGCGCAGTCATACTTGTATTCCTAAGAGTTTTTTAAAATTATGACAAGATTGCGAAAAGGACGATGTGAAGATAAAACATATATGTATCATCTACTTCCGTTAATATTTTTAATTTTAAATGGAAATATTTTTTACTCTAGCATTTCGAATGTTGAAAATAGTACCATGTTAGACCATTTTATAAAACAGAATTTTAAGTATTTTATTTGAAATAAGATATTAGAAATATTAATTTCGGAAGCAAATTTTAATCGGATTTTTTTCTATGATAAAATACATTATTTTTTTCAAAATTTCCAAGAGAATTCCTGTATTAAATTTCATAGTCTATATTTGAAGGGGGGAGACGAAACAGTTTGTTTAAGTCTGTATATTATTTTATTCATTGGCTTAAGTTCATTAAAGTGTTTAATTCCAATTACGATCATATCTAAAATTATATTACAAAGCTATATGATTTCTGATTTAATCAAAACTCTATATCTATCTTATTTTCAAAATAAACGAAACACCATATAGTTACTTGAAACTGTTCGATCAAAGCAACTATTTGTTTTATTGAATACAGATATATTAATACAAGAGTACCACAAGTACCACACGGGGCTTACATAAGAAAGCAAAACAAACAAAATAGAACAAATGAAATGAAGGATAAATTAGCAAGATAAAAATTACAAAATCAATCGAGTCAAAAAGTACAGTGAAAAAAAAGGTACAGGTAAAATTACATTTAAATGCTTACTTTTCGGCAACTTAAATCCCACAAAACAAGGATCACTTTAACAAATTTCTTTAATTTTTTCAAAATAAAATTAGTCATAATAAATATTTTTTTCACTTGTATACCTTTATGCAATTCATATGTGAAAGAAAGTATGATTTTATTGGTTGCTGGCTTTTGACAAAAACCTTACAGAAATTCTTTATACAAGTAATATTTAGAAACAAAAAGTAAGTCAATTCCTACTTAGGCTCTTTTGATAAGAAACATACAGGAATTCTTTATACATACAACAAGTAATATATATAAAAAAATTAAGTCAATTCTTACTTAGGTCAACAAAGAAAAATTTTATTTTAGTTACTTTCTATTAAATAGTTACAATTAATATAAATATATATATATAAATGTAAGGATAATTAAATTAGATTAAAAATTAAATTCCCTATCTAGCACTTGACTATATCTTTCTCCGTTCTCATATTCAAGTATCAAACTAATCGCCTATTTATTTCTTCCGAACATATGGCCTAGCCAATAAACATGTCTAATTCTAGATCGTTAGATTTAATAGTCAACATATGTCAGCATTAACTTGCAAGCACCATCTTCAAAGCAGCGACACTTACCAGATGTTTTTCACGTGTTATTCACGTGAAACCCCCACCATGGCGTGTTTTTTACTCCCTGCTCTTAGCATCAGAATGGATGTAGAAACGATGGAATAAAGACCTTCCTTTTTAAACTTTAATCTGATTCTGTCTTTAAAATCATGACATATACATATGACAGAATAACAATATAAAATGACAAAGTAGAAAGACGATTTTTTTTCTGTTTATGGTGTTGGATTATTATTTTTGTTTATTATATATATATATATATATATATATATATATTGATTCATTAATCCATTCTCAAAAATTAGGCCATCCCAGGTAGGATTCGAACCTACCACTTTTGGATTAGCAGTTCAACTCGCTATCTATTGTGCTACAGGGACACAACGAACAATTTTCTATCATATATATGCTTTTGGACTATTATTTTTGTTTGTTACTGTTTATTCATTTTTAAATTTAACTAAAGAATTAATATTTTTAAAAAAACTATATTAACATTAAATGTCATCTGCTACAAGTTTAAAAAGATGTATTTGAACTTGAATAGAGGAATAAAAAGTATTTTATTAACGATTGAAAATTTGAACAAGATATATGTATGTACAATAATATTGTTAAGACATTTCTTAAATTAAATTTGTAAATTTAATCTATGCAGCAAAATAAGCTCAATCAACATTTTAAAACTCTTCCAAAAAATAATTTTTCATTTTTCATTCAATAATCCCCAAGACAAACAGAGCCTATCTGTTATAACATAAGTATATGAAAGTATAAAACGCTTATGAACTGTCCCCTGACCAGTTCATTGTACTGTTTCGGCTCTCTGGGGGCAAGCCATTCATTCGGAAACCATCGTCAACGGAAGAGCCCAGAAGACGCCCCATGTCCAAACAGTGACTAGGAGGGGTTGTTTATTTCGACAGTGTGCCCCATTTGTTTATATTAGAACTTGCACATCACCCGGGCGCAGCAAAGGAAATGGGGTTGCACACACAGCAGGGGTGATTCTTGCAGTTTTATATAGTTCGAGGAAATAGAATGGATAGAAAAGGAGATGAATCCTTGTAGTTGGTTGCTTTTCTCCTGTACGTTCTGTGTTTTAAATTACGGTTTTCATGTCCGTTGTTTCCTGGAAATATCCCCGGCTGCACTTTTTTTAATTCATTCAATGTTTGTTTTTTTCGTAAGAAATGACCAGAATTTTTTACTGTTAAGTTATTTGTTTAAGACAAAGTTCTTGATTATCTGATAATTCAAACATTCATGTTGCACGGATTTTAATTCGAATTTTCCAATCAAAATTGGTTATTTATTTTCACCTTTCATTAAATTTTAGTATTTTATTCTTATATAGTAACACAATTTTCATATCATATGGACAATTTCTGTACTAAAACTAATTTCCAACGACTAGTAGGAGTTTTTTAGTTATAACGACCACCTGACAATATGTAATAAAGCTAAATTAATTTAAAAAATAATTTTGTTTCAGCAAATTCAAATTGTTTCTTTTTAATACTATTTCTTTTTATAATCCTTATGCTTTCATATTAAGTAATATTTGGTACTTGGTATGGATTAGAAATTTTCCAACGCGAATCTCAATTGAAAATATGTAGAAATTTCAAGAAAAACATCTTACTAAGCAGTTAAGAAAGCGTGTGAATATTAAACGATAATGTTTTGCCTTGTTTAAATCTTATAACTTATTCTATCAAGCATTATCGTATGAAGCAAAAAAAAACAGTACATTCCATTGAAAATAAGACATTGATTTAAGTATCAAAAATTAAACTTTAGGGTTATATGATTCTTTTTTGATTTATTGAAAATGAGTACATTGAACATTCGTTATGAAGAAAATAAAATCTGTAATAAGGTTAAATTTATGATAATTTTTTTACATAAAAGTTGCAGTTAAATTCTAGTTTAAGAATAATATATAATAAAAAAATATTTTAATAATAATATTTTGTAAAGTAAAAGTATATTCTTCATATATAAGAAATATTTGTTAATATTATGTAAAAACAAATATTGTAGCGTTAATGTAAATGAAACAGACCATTTTAAAATAGGATAAAAAGGAAAAATGAAAGTATTATATGTAATTTTCCTATAAAAATGAGATAAATTAAGAACTTTCATTTCTCTTTTATGTATTTGTTATTTATTTAATTCCATTATAGTAATTTACAGACACTCTGCGTAGTTTTTTGCGTAATGTGGCTCTAAAATCCGCGGTATATTTTTATTTGGTGCATGTGTATTGATTATTGATAACTATTTTTCCAATGTGAAGTATAAAATATTCATTCCATAATTTTTAACTGCTTTAAAACTCTATAAAAAAAGTAATGCGTGTTTTTGTAAGCACGTTATTTACGTTATCTTTCACATTAAAGCTCCGATACGAAAAAACAACAACCACGATTTATTTATAAGAAAAGGGGGGGATATAATGAATATTTTTGTTTGAAGTTCACTTTTATTTACTCAGACAAATTATCACAAATTCAAATAAAATAAGTATTTTAATGTTGTTTTACTAAGACTTCTAATTACAAAATTAATTATTTTTATACCTACAAATAAAATAAGAGAATTAATTATTTTAATTGGATTTTGAAAATAAAAATTTTTAAATTCTTGATAATTATACTTAAAATCGCTAATTCACACTACACAATTAAATCATGTACTTAAATTTTATGAATTTCCATCCAAGCTAATTATCTTTTAAATAGATTTTGTCAAGCAATTACTTGTAATTGCTTTAATAATCACCACGTGCTTTACTTTTTTTAAGAACTAAAATTCACGATCTGTAATAATGTTTGAAGTTCTAGTAAATGATCAATTAACGAACACAATAGGAGAGAGCATAAAATGCAATTATTTCACAGTATTGCGTGCTCAAATATTTAGTTTATGATAATGGGAAAACGATTTTCGTAATCAGTTTCTGGTATTGGATTGTAAAGTAGCTTGAAGGAATGTTAATTATTTAGACTTTAAAATAAGGGAAAACATCAAGATCATTTGAAAGGTATACGTTTTACAAGAATTCAGCCATTCAGTGATAAAGACAAGAATTCCAGTATCATTTTACTTATCATCTGTAAACGTGTCGGAGATTAGAACCCGCGACCTATGGATTCGTAAGCACGTAATATACCACTAGACAAAAGTGATCACTCTTGTCCGGAAGCTGTTATTGGCTTATTTAGATACAACCACAGTACTCCCCACCAGTGAGTTGGTGGATAGACGAACGAACGAGATATTTTTTTGTTATGGCGAGCGTGTGTGAGTTGTTGCTGTTGCGTCAAGTGAGTTTGACGTTTTTTTACTGCTCATTTTCTGGGTAGATGGTGCCACGACACATCAGAGAAGGTATGCGTTTTTCTTTTCCACCAAGGTCACCAATGTCGGAGATTAGAACCCGCGACATATGGAATCGTGAGCACGCCACATACCTCTAGATAAAAGGGATCACTCCTGTTTGGAGGCTGTTACTGACTTATTTAGATACCGCTACAAACGTATTTCAAGTTTTTATTTCTTTTAAATATTTTCTTCTATATTTTATCTCTGGAGCTCAGTTATATTGTTATTTAGATTATATTGATTTTAGGTAATGTGGAAGTGTGAGAAACATATTGCTTCGTTGATCGAGGTTCGAGGATTTTATGCAGATCAGTCGCAAAGAACAAGACAGTTCTTTAAGAGCGATGGAAATCTATTGTCGAGAAAACAGTCCTTGAAATACATGATTAAGCAGCAAAATTTGCAGAATAATTATCAGAAGGTCTTCACACCTTCTACTGCACTCAGACATAATTACCAGTGTCTAAAATACAAGTATGAAATACAAATACGTGAAGGATTATACACAAGCATACGCTTATTCAACAGCCGAAATAATCATCAATCGCTTCAACGATCAAGGCAAGGCTACTGGTCGCTAGTCAGAGCAATATTCTTTAATCGTTGGTCAAAACTAATTTTCGGCAAGCATCTCTCTATTTATAGGCCTGACGAATAATTCCAAAAAGATGAGAAATTAGAGAATTTCTCCACTAATTTCTAGAAGAGTCCAGAGAATCCGGAACTTATAAAAATGTTCTTCAACATGATCGCCAAGTCGCCGACTTGGTGGTCAAAAATAATGCAAACTTGGTTCTATCGCCAAGATTTTGCCATTAAACCACCATTAAAACGTAAGGGACGGCATTGCTTGTAAATATTACAATTTTAACATAAAATGAATATAACATAGAGTAATACAAATGCTTTACACATCTAAATACAAATTATTTACACTATTTTATGCAAAATTCGTAACAGTATTAAGTAAAATATTCATGACATAATTGTCACTCATATTGTTTGGCTGGTATAAATTGACATTGTTCTTAAGATGCACGAGTGGTGTTTGAAAGTATATTTCTTAATTTTTTTTAATCATTATTAAGTAAAGAAAGCAACTTTTGAATAGGTAAGTTAAATCTTCTTACTTCCTCGCATAAAGACATGAAAATGAAAATGTCTTTGCTGACTTAAATTAAACTGTCATATTTTTTATTATTTCAGCTCTTTTATATAGCATGTGACAGAGCTTGAAGGAAATCAAAATGCAAGAATCCAAGAAAATAATCATCACATCTTTTAAAATAATGGTTCTCTCAATTTTTCTCAAAAAATGATTGCTGTTTTTCTCACAACAACTTTATAAATTTTCTTTTTAGAATCAGAATACAATTTTATTTAAAATGGGATTTAAACTTAGTTTACCAAATATTTTTGAAGTTATACTTCTTTTTTTATGGCGCGTTAGGGAAAAAGGATGAGGTTCAATTCTTACAATGTGCGCACACACCGTTGTCTAATACTTTAACATGCCACTTTTTTAGTGCTAGGGGACTGATATTTGAGGGATCGTGTTAACTATTATAAAACACTATATCTGTAGGGACGCATCTCCAAGTGCATTCCCCTCTCTAAAGCTTTCTTGCCAATGTCTCGGCATCCGATCCTCACAGTCCATTCAGTCCTAGCTCATTCGATCCCTCTCTATCTTCTCTTCCAGTTATTATAATTTTATGCCCATAGGGCTATTTCTTCCATAGTACTTAATTGTTTTAAACTTTTTTAAACGTTTTAAATTTGTTTAAATTCACAATATCTTGACTCCTGTTCAAATCTCGGACTTGAAATTAGAACCAACTATTCCACTCGTCGAGGACCATCCAATCATCTACTTCATTCCTATTGTGTAGGGGCATGCGGAAGGCTTAAACACTAAAATATCATGCTCTCATGTTAATTCTATGTGAGGACTGGAAAAAATCCCCCCCTAAGAATTTGAGCTCGG